TCTTCTTTCTTCTTCTTCTCCTTCTTTCTTTTTCTTGCTTCTTCTTCTTTCTTCTTCTTCTTCTTCTTTTTTTCTTCTTCTCTTCTTCTTCTTCTTCTTCTTCTTTCTTCTTTCTTCTTCTTCTTTCTTCTTCTTTCTTCTCTTCTTCTTCTTCTTTTTCTTTTTTCTTCTTCTTCTTTTTCTTTTCTTTTTCTTCTTCTTCTTATTCTTCTTCTTTCTTCTTTTCTTCTTCTTCTTTCTTCTTTTCTTTCTCCTTCTTCTTCTTTTTTTTCTTCTTTTTGCTTCTTTCTTCTTCTTCCTTCTCTTCTTCTTCTCCTTCTTTTTCTTCCTTCTTCTTCTTTCCTTCTTTCTTCTTCTTTTCTTCTTCTTCTTCTTCTTGCTTCTTCTTTCTTCTTCTTCTTCTTTCTTTTCTTCTTCTTCTTTTTCTTCTTCTTTCTTCTTCTCTTTGCTTCTTTCTTCTTCTTCTCTTCTTTTCTTCTTTTTCCGTCTTCTTCTTCTTTCTTCTTTTTCTTCTTCTTCTTCTTCTTCTTTTTTCTTCTTCTTCTTCTTCTTTCTTCCTTCTTCTTCTTCTTCTTCTTCTTTTCTTCTTTTCTTTTCTTTCTTCTTCCTCTTCTTTCTTCTTCTTCCTTCTTCTTTTCTTTCTTCTTCTTCCTTTTTCTTCTTCTTCTTCTTCTTTCTTTTCTTCTTCTTCTTTTCTCTCTTCTTTCTTCTTCTTCTCTTCTTCTTCCTTCTTCTTCTCTTTTCTTTCTTCTTTTCTTCTTCTTCTTCTTTCCTTTCACTCTTCTTTTCTTCTTCTTCTTTCTTCTGTTCTTCTTCTTCTTTCTTCTTCTTCTTTTCTCTTTCTTCTTCTTCTTCCTTCTTCTTCTTCTTCTTCTTCTTTTCTTTTCTTTTTCCTTCTTCTTCCTTCCTTCTTCTTCTTCTTTCTTCTTGTTCTTCCACTTTCTTTCTTCTTCTTCTTCTCTTCATCTTTTTTTTCTTCTTCTTCTTTGCCTTCTTCTTCTTCTTTCTTCTTTTTCTTCTTTTTCTTTTTCTTCTTTACTTTCTTCTTCTTCTTCTTCTTCTTATCTTCTTCTTCTTCTTTCTTCTTCTTCTTCTTCTTTCTTTTCTTTCCTTTTTCTCCTTCTTCTTCTTCTTTCTTCTTCTTCTTCTTCTTTCTTCTTCTTCTTACTTCTCTTCTTCTTCTTCTTTTTCATTCTTCTTCTCTCTTCTTCTTTCTTCTCTTCTTCTTCTTCTCTTCTTCTTTCTTCTTCTTCTTCTTCTTTTCTTCTTTTCTTCTTCTTTCTTCTCTTCTTCTCTCTTCTTTCTTCTTCTTCCTTCTCTTCTTCTTTCTTCTTTTTCTTCTTCTTTCTTTTCTTCTCTTCTTCTTTCTCTTCTTCTTCTTTTCTTCTTCTTCTTCTTCTTCTTCTTTCTTTTCTTCTTCTTCTTTCTTCCGTTTCTTTTTCTTCTTGCTTTTTCTTTTCTTGCTTTCTTCTTCTTCTTCTTCTTCTTCTTCTTCTTCTTCTTTCTTCTTCTTCTTCACTTCTTTTTTTTCTTCTTCTTCTTCTTCTTCTTTCTTCTTCTTCTCTTCTTCTTCTTCTTCTTCTTCTTCTTCTTCTTCGTTCTTCTTCTTCTTCTTCTTCTTCTTCTTTCTTCTTCTTCTCTTCTTCTTCCTCTTCTCTCTTCTTTCTTCTTCTTCTTCTTCTTCTTCTTCTTCTTCCTTCTTCTTCTTCCTTCTTTCTCTTCTTCTTCTTCTTCTTCTTCTTCTTCTCTTCTTCTTCTTCTTCTTCTTCGTCTTCTTCTTCTCTTCTTCTTCTTCTTCTTCTTCTTCTTCTTCTCTTCTTGTTCTTCTTCTTCTTCTTCTTCTTCTTCTCTTCTTCCTTCTTCTTCTTCTCTTCTTCTTCTTCTTCTCTTCTTCTTCTTCTTCTTCTTCTTCTCTTTCGTTCCTTCTTCTTCTTCTTCTCTCTTCTTCTTCTTCTTCT